GAGATAGCAAGAAAGAGAAGGGAAGAAGAGCAACAGGCTCATTTACACAGATTGGGTTTAGTGATGGAACAACATCACCAGCAGCCTCAAGGTGAAGAGGGTGTAGGTCTAGGAGCTGACAACCTAAGGCCACAACACCCACAGCGCCAAGCAAGGACCATTGGTACTCATGATCAGCCTAACATCAATGGTCCAAGAGTTGGCATTCGGGCTCCAGCTGTGGAAAATAACAACTTTGAGATCAAGTCTAGCCTCATCAACATGATCCAACAAAACAAGTATCATGGTCTTGCCTTGGAGGATCCTCTTGATCATTTGCATAACTTTGACCGGCTGTGTAGCACCACCAAGATCAATGGAGTCTCTGAAGATGCCTTCAAGCTAAGGTTGTTTCCTTTCTCTTTAGGAGACAAAGCACATCTTTGGGAAAGAAGTCTTTCAAGAGATTCTATTGAAACTTGGGATGCTTGCAAGAAGGCTTTCCTTACCAAGTTCTTCTCTAGCTCAAGGACTGCTAAGCTAAGGAATAAGATCTCTGGCTTTACTCAAAGGAACCTTGAAAACTTTGGAGAAGCGTGGGAAAGGTTCAATGGCTACATCTCTCAGTGCCCTCATCATGGCTTCAACAAGGAGAGTTTGCTTAGTACATTCTACAGAGGAGTTTTGCCTAAGTATAGGTCCCAACTTGACACTGCAAGCAATGGTTCATTCTTGGGCAGAACTGAAGGNGTATGGAGAAGTGCTAATCAAACTTAGAGGCTAAATGGGTTCCAAAATGTTGAAAAGAGCAAGAAATGGTGCAAAACCGGGCAAGTACCGCGACCTAGAGGTACCTGCGAATTGAGACTTCACCGCGGGCAAGTGTCGCGGGCTCACGTAGGCCGCGATCAAGTGGCGAAAACAAGGCAGGGATGTATCGCGGGCTACGTCGCGGGAAGAGAGGGTCGCGGCCAAAAATGGGACGCCGCGGGCTCCTACCGCGGGCAAGGGGAGGTCGCGATGAAGTGTCGAAAACTTGGCAGTGTTATTTCGCGGGCTACCTTCGCGAGATGTGGAGACCGCGGCGAGAAAGAGATCACCGCAGGCTATGTTCGCGGGCAAGAGAAGGCTGCGGCTTAGTAGCAAATCTTAGAACTATAAATATGTGTTAAACTCATTAATGGATCTAATCTTGTTTTCTCTCCTAAACACTTGATACTTTGGTGAAAGTTTATTCCTTTGATCTAAGATTTCATCTTTTATCTTGTGTTCTTGAGATTATTTAAGTGTTTCTTTGCTTTCTAATCATGATTTATCTTAAATCCTTCATAGGTTTAAGTGTGATCATGGTTATTAGTGAGTAGACATCTTTGGATTCATGGGTTAGGGAGATCAAAGGGGGATTAAGCTAGATCTAGGGTGTTAGAGTATAGATCCATCTATTTCCTTGCTTGTTGGGTGATCTTAATGCTATTTTAGAGTTGGCCTCTCTAGAATTGATCTTTAGGTATTTCAAGCCCACAAGGC